CGTTCGTAAAATTCGATATATGAATAATGTAATCGTCTGACCTATTTTTAAATATTAGATATTTTATTGTCCAATTTGTATTTATATATGTATATTAATATAAATATTTAATTGGTATATTATCGATGTATTTTTAAGATAATTTCATTGATCGAATTGATAAACATCGATATAAATATTATATATAGTTTACGTTAAATATTTAAATATATGTATTCGCTATTAAATAATATAAGATCAGATTCCTTGTTTAATTTGTTATAAACAATTATATATATATATATATATATATATATATGTATATATTTATTACATTTGAATGATATAGTAAATCCCAATGATAAAATCAATAAATAAAAATCTTTCAACTAATTGTATTCCATTTTGATATAGTTTTATTTGAATAAATTAATTCCCATTAACAGCTTAGTTTATAAGAAAACACATCGGCACACACCATCCTTTACGCACGGGATTACTCAATGGTGATTCATTTTTCGTGTGGGCGTTTAAGAATAATAAACTCAATGTTTTCACAAATCCCATTTAGTTTTTCCGGGCTAAGTTAATTTCCAACACTCGTACGATTACGACGTTAGATCGAATTCTTACTCAACTTGTTTGAATTTACTACATTGTTGTTGCATCCGATTGTGGTCTGGATCGTAGATCCTCAAAATAGTAGAGTAAAAGAAATAAATAAATAAAATAGATTCGTTGTATAAAAAAAAATTTCTAACGCCATGATAATAAATAGAAATTTGGCTTGCGCGTGTAAAAAAGTAAATAAATAAATAAATAAAAAAAAAAAAAAATAAATAAATAAATAAATGTATTTCTATTTCTCTCTTTTTCTCTATCTTTTTTTTTCTCTTTTTTTTTTTTTTTTTTTTCTATTTAGTTTTAATATAATTCAATTCTTTTCACCTTATTTCTCTTTTAGATCCGTAGTTAAGAAGGATCGTCTCGTTTTACACATTTGGATAGAAGCCACGTATTATATCATCGATCTAAGATATACGTAATTGATCTTATTAATGTCGAAATAAAATCGTGCATTATCGTAAATCCTGTTACCTGTCTGTTAAAAGAAAAAAGAGAGAGAGAGAGAGAAAAAAAACAAGAAAAAGAGAAAGAGAGAAGGAAGAAACGAGAAAAAAGAAAAATCGAAAGAAAAGGTGATCCTCCTTCAATCGTGCTTGAGAGTGGATCGACCCGTTCAATCTCCAGAATTAGAACTTGCATCAGCCATGAGGAATATCGGAGGGATGGAGAGAGAGAGAGAGAGAGAGAGAGAGAGAGAGAGAGAGAGAGAGAGAGAGAGAGAGAGAGAGAGAGAGAAAAAATATACAAATTTGTTGATAAATCGATCCGATCGAGAAGCTTGCGTGTTTGATGATAGGAATGATCGATCGAACTTAACGATAACAAAGAAGAAACGAACGTGATTGATCGAAAGAAAAAAAAAAAAAACAAAAAACAGGAAAAAGAAAAAAAATATTGCAGAAAGAAAGAATAAAAGTGAAATTAATTAATTAATCGATTAATTGCAATTAATCGGACGATTAAAATAAATATCTGTTAAATATATTGATAATATACAAAACATTTATTATATCCTTTACGCTTGTAACAATTACGTAAAATATATAATATGTATTCACGCGTATATACGCCGAATATATATATATATATATATATATATATATATATATACATATATACATACGTATTTGTTTATTTAATCGTGTGATATAGTAGTAGAGAGATATAAAAAAAAAAAAGAAAAAACGAGCATGCTTTCATAAAAGAAAATCGTGGTCGTCGTCGTCGTCTCTTTCGATGTATTTAACATATATAATTATAAAAAGAAATAAAATTCATAGAGAAAGATTCATAAATAGTGGCAGGGCGTAGGGGTAGGGGTAGGTGGAGATATGGTTGTATATAAATGTCATATATTTTGTATAAATGTCATCAACTTACTTCTTGGATCTTATAGTTGGTACGGATGGTCTTACGTTTGGTAGTAGTGACCTCGTAGGTCTCCTCGACCGTGGACGAGCCATCATCATTTTCATTCTTCGTCTTTCTACTTGTCTTCTCCTCCTTCTCCTCCTCCTCCTCCTCCTCTCCTTCCTCTTTATCCTTAATATTATCAAATTTTCTCCCTTCCACGTTATCAGCTGCGACGGAATCGTAATGATCATCCGTCACATCCATCCTAATCAATCGTTTCTTTCGATTTATTAAAAATTTCTCACGCAAAATTAAGATTACACACAATTAAATTTTCGAGAAGAGAGATTTATAGAAAGAAAAAAAAAAAAAAAAGAAAAAAAACCAAAGAATTTCTTTCCGACGTAGATCAAATTCTTCTCGCTCCTTTCCTCTTTTTTCTTCTTCTTCTTCTTCTTCTTTTTCTTCTTCTTTTTCTTTCACTCTTCTTTAATTCTAACTTTTAATTCTTTCTTTATACGTATGTGTATGTAAATATGTATATATATATATATATATATTTCTTTTCTCTCTTTCTCTCTCTCTCTCTCTTCTTTTTCTTTATTTGTTTTCCACGTTAACAACCGATCATCGATAAATATCGTCGATACAATTTGATACAAATTGAAATATAAGAAGAAGATGATGACGTTGATGACGACGATGATGATAATAATAATAATAATAAGAAGAAAAAGAATTTACAAATATAAAAATTAACACAATAAAAAAAAAATATATATATATATATAAGTACGAAAATGGATTTGTTTGAAAAGAAATGTTCGAAAAGAAATATATTGAATATGCTTAGGGATGGTAACGATGATAAATAAAAAAAAAAAAAAAAAGAAAAAGAAAAAAAAAGAAAAAACGAACGGCAACAACGGCCGACAAACGATAACGGTAATAACAGTGGTTAATTGGAAAAAAAAAAAAAAAAAAAAAAAAATAAAAAAAAAAAAAAGAACAAGAAACAACAACAACAACAACAAAGAGAGAAACGAATAAATATAATGTTCGATTGTAACTATTTATTCTCCCCGGGGATCGTCAATGACGGCGACGTATTTTACGAAGTTCGTTCTGCGGAGTGACTATTCGTACTAAAAACCACCGACAACGTCCTACGTTTACGTACGAGAGAATCACGCTACGACGACGACTACGACGACGATGATGACGATGACGACAACGACGACGACGACGACGACAACGACGACGACGACGAAGACCACGGATGTTCTTCGAGTTAGCTTTACTCGCCTTTGCGTTTTTCGACGATCAAAATAGAACTTCGGAGTTTTCCCTTAGGAATACAGCGTACCAACACACACCGTTTGGTTGATTTCCAAAAGCTCTTTGAAAGAGAAAGATAGATAGAAAAAGAGGGAGAGAAAGAGAGAGAAAGAGAGAGAGAGAGAGGGAGAAAGAGAGAGAGAGAGAGAGAACGATACGACTGTAACATTTGCCCTTTTAACGATTACCTTTCGTAGAAACGACGAAGCCCTACGAAAGGCCATCATCATTACAGTGATCCTCAAATTCGATTTCTTCAAAAAGAAAATAACAAAGTTAGAGACTCTTATACGTATACGTATATTGTAAGTATGAATGATTTCAAATACGTAATCATTTTTTTTAACGTCTTCTTTCTAGTGATAATATATATGGGTATATGTATGTGTATATATATATATATATATTTTTTTTTTTCTTTCTTTCTTTAAGTATATAAATGTATGTAAGAAAGAAAGAGTCGTGTGTTTGTTTTATACGTCCGAAGGAGAGTTTGAGAATCGTTGGAATTGGCTTTGTCCGAAGAAGCCCCGAGATATCAATATTTTCTTCTTCTTCTTCTTCTAGTTTTTTCTTTTTATTATTATTATTATTATTATTATTATTATTATTATTATTATTATTATTATTCTTTTAATATCGAAAGGACATTTTCGTCGTTCACTTTTTATTCTTTATTTTCTTTTCTTTTTTTTTTTTCTCGTTTTTCTTCTATTTTTTGCTTTTTTTCATTTTTTAAAGAAAGACAACACAAACGATCATTATAAAACAGTTATCTAATATTATTGTTCCTATTTATTTCTCGTCAAGGTTGAAATGTTTATTTGATTAAAAACGATAAAATAGAGATGGATTAAAATTTTAAGTGAAATTTGTTATAATAAATAAAAATTTTCTCTCTCTCTCTTTGTCTTTTTCTGAAATCATAATAGAGAATTACAAGTTTGTCGATCTATTAATCTAAATAGATAACGTTGACAATATTTGTTATTAAAAATTCTGATATTATTTATGTGGCAATTTAATTATATAATACAATTGAATTACGTCTGGCTTGCAAAAGTATAGTATACTATTGTTTTAAATTTATATATGTATATATTAATGTAGATACATAACATAAATAATAAACTATACTATAAACGAAATAATATTTGTTACTTAAAATACTATACATTATTATTTATTACTGAATATCAAAAGTATAATACAATTTTAAATTACGTTTTTTTCTTTCTATGACACAATATAATACAATATTAATATATATTGTATATTATTAAATTAGATATTATTTATGACGTAAATGATGAATTGACGACGTGAAAGTAATATTTGTTAATTGAAAATTTCATTTATTTTTTTATTGATTAAATCTAAATTTACAATAGAATAATATCTTGTTTTTACTATAGTACAATGTATTTTATTAGATCTGTTCGAATTTTTAAAATATCATCAATTATTTCTTTTTTTTTCTCCTCCCTTTTTTTTCCTTCTTTTTATCTCTTTCTCTTTTTTTTTTTTATTATCATAAGATTTTTTTTTTATTTTTATTATTATAAATACAAACTTTGATATCGTTCATTAACAAATCCAATATATACATACTTATACATATACATACATATACATATATATATATATATATATATATATATATATATCTCTTCGTATAGGTATTAATAAAATATATTTTTTTCTTTTTTTCTTTCTTTTTTGTTTTTTTGTTTTATTATTATAAACACTGACTTCGCTAGAGAAACAAGATTTCGTCGAGGTTCTTTAGATGTAGTATTGAAAGTGCATACGTCTAATACACGTTGCGGATTTTTCGAATGAATGTTATAGAAATGAGTATAAAGCTTCTTTCGAGTTTGGATCGTTTGTAAAGAAAAACCATTAGCCACGAAGAGGAAATGCTTTTCTAACGTAGATCTCGTATTACTAGGATATACATTTACCATTCAAATGTTCATTTTGATTTAAAGAAAGAGAAAACCGTATTGAAACGAAAGAGAGAGAGAGAGAGAGAGAGAGAGAGAGAGAGAGAGAGAGATAGTTTTTTCCTTTTTGTAAATTCCTTATTTTTATTTTAATTTATTACGATAGACCTCAAACGAAATGAAAAAGGTCAAGGGCAAAAGCCCCAGATTTTATTACTTTTTAATCTCTCGACATTTTTATTTATTTATTTATTTATTTATTTGTTTATTTGTTTGGTTCAATATAGTCAATGATCTCTTTTATTTATTAGAAAGAAAATCGGATTGAATGGTATTCTTTTAATTGGTCTTCCATTTCTTGTCTTTCTTTTTCTTTTCTTTTTTTTTTTTGTTTTTGTTTACTTCGTCGTAAAAACCAACGAGTGCGATATGCGATAAGAGAATATATTTTCGATTAGGAACAGATTTCGTTTATTATTTTTATTTTTTCTTCGACGAACTTGAACTCTTCAATTCATTACGATTATCTTCATCACGATTAGATGTTGTCGGATTTCTTGGTATGTATCCACTTAATTTATCCAAAGGTATACTGATTTTCAATTGATATTTAGGACAATTACCAACCTTCAATTTTTCTTCCTTCGTCGATGATAACTCATTCGATTGATCGGCTGAAAATAAATATAGAGAATTTTTTGTTTAAAGTATTGATAAACATTGTTAATTATAATTATTCTTTATTAAAAATTCAACGTGGATGCGATTTCGTTTTTCGAGGAAAGAAGAGCAAAAAAAAAAAAAAGAAAAAAAGAATTGAAAAGAATATATTCAAAAATTTTTTTCATTTTTAAAATATCAATATCACAAAGATTTCGTTGTCAAACGATAATAGCAAAGTCATTCATTATGAGATTGATCTAAGTCTAATTAACGATAAGTTCTATCTTTTAAAATACATTATAACGAATGTCTCGTTATTAATCTGTTAAAACTGTGTTTATATTAATCGTATAACACTCGTCACGAAGAGATCGCTGATTTTTTTTCTTTTTTTTTTTTTTTTTTTTTTTCTTTTTTGCGTTATAATCGTCATACGATATAGAAAGAAGAAAAAATATTATCTCTTATGCCATTTATATCAAAATTTTAATGAAATTTTAATTTAAGTTTGTTTAGAATTATTTTTGTTTATTAAAAAATTTACGAAGAACAATCTTAAAGAATAAAATCTATATATATATATATATATATATATATATATATTTATTTATTTATTTATTTATAAATTCATAGATAAATAAATGGTAACGAATATACATAAAGAACAATTGATCTTGTTGATCTTTTGTTAAAAATTAATATCCCAAAAAATCCATAAATTATTTCATTAAAAAAAAAAATATATATATATATATATTTACATTTATACTATATTTGTTAATATATTTATTATATATATATATATATAAAAATACATATTAGACTTACGTATATTCCTATTAGCCATTTTGTTAGGAATCCTGATACGTGTCTTCAATAATGAGATAAATAAATTTTGTGAAGATTTGCTTTTCTTTTTCTTTTTTTTTTTTTTTTTTTTTTTTTTGCTCTTTCCTCTTCGATGCGAATACGTACACATACATACACACCAATACACACACGAACACTCTTTCTCGATTGTTTTTCAAAGCAAATGTCGTTGCCTAATATATACATACACTTCGAAATCCAAGATTGAAATGAACAGACAAATCACAGTTTGCGACTGTTGATTTGCCTGAAAGAAAAACAAAACAACAATGATGACTCTCTTGTAATATATTATACTGAAGGACTTTTACGTGTGATAATTAAAATTAAAAATTTTCCATATAGAATATATCAATGAGAATTAAATTGTACGAATTGAAATTCTATTATAAATCTTGTTCGATAATATTTTTCTTCTTCTTAGGTTTTTTTTTTTCTTCTTTTTTCTTTTCTTTTTTTCTTTTTTTTCTTTTTTTTTTTTTCTTTTCGTATTTCATAAATCCGCAATATTTTCATTTAAAACATTTATTTTCATTCTTCGTTCATTTTCATTATTCCTAAGAATATTTATTTTCGATTTTTGTTCTTACGTTCTCCTTGGTACAGTTCAAAAGAAAAAAGAGAGAAGGAAGTAATGAGGTATAGAGAGAGAGAGAGAGAGAGAGAGAGACAGAGAGAGAAACAATGATACAGAGAGAGACAGAGAGAGTGAGAGTGAGAGAGAAAGAGAGAGAGAGAGAGAGACGAAATTCTATGGAGAGATTAAAGGATGAGCTTTGTCATTTTAGCATTTCGAGCTTACGTATTCCAGTTGATTTACGTCAGAACATGTTGCATCTTTAGTGATTCCATTAAAATTCGTTCCTCTCTCTTTCTCTCTCTCTCTCCCTCTCTCTCTCTCTCTCTCCCATCATACTACCAGTTTCCTATAACAACTGATCGTTTAATCTCTCTGTTAATCTCCTTCATGCGGTAATCCCATGAGTAATACAATCAGAGACAAGTAGAACATTGTAATCCGTTTCGTTATTTGTCAAAAGTAATAATATCATGTATCTTGTATTTGTCAATTTGTTTTTTTTTCTTTTTTTTTTTTATGATCTTTCAGTAATCGAAATAATTGATCATGCCAATGTATATATAGATTATTATTCTCCATTTGTTGATTGAATGAACGTGTAAAACTCTGTGAAATAAAATAAGGAAAATACGTCTTGACGTTTAACAATGCAAAAGTTTTTCTTTATATTTTATTATTATAATTATCATTATTATAATTATCATTATTCATAATAATAATGTTATTATTATTATTATTATTATCATCATCATCATCATCATCATTGTCATCGTCATCATTATTATCATCATCAGTGCTAGATCGTATTAATATCATATTATTTTATAACAATATATCAATCAATGAGAAATTGATTTATCTTCTTCTTCTTTCTTTTCTATATTTTTTTTTCCTCTCTCTTTTTAACAATTTATAAACGTTGTTTCGAAAAAGTCAATTAGGCTGTGGTTTTTCCTGATACAAAAATTCTTCGAAAAATTATAAAAAAATATATATTATACAATCGGCACACAGTTGGACAAATTTTCACGTCGTGATTTTTTTACATTTAAATTCAAATATGTATTATGTTGTACAATTATTATATGCTATAATGAATTGTAATAATATTAAAAAAAAAAAAAAAATAATACTTAAGGAGGTTATTAAACCCTTTTGGCACTTGGTTCCAAATTTTTATGCTTGCATTGTTATTTGATCGATTATCATTCCTATTAATTCTCTTCTTATTATATTTTATTATTTAAATGCGTGTGACGTTAAGCGTATGCCAAATTATAAAAATATATCCTTATTGTAAGAATAATTTTATTAAATTTTTTGGCTTATAAACACCAACTTCCGTAATTATCCCTGTAATAAGACTGGCAGGAGTTATATCGAATGCCGGATTCCAACATTGTATACCAGATGCTGCAACACGTTGATCGTTTACATGTGTCATTTCTCTTTCAGGTCTCTCTTCGATAACAATATGATCGCCACTAGGTATTGCAAAATCAATTGATGTTCGTGGAGCGGCGACATAAAATGGAACGTTATGATATTTTGCTATAATTGAAATCTGCAAATGAATTTTAATATATTAATTTGTATGTTGATAAAATGACAAATTGTTAAAAAAAAAAAAAAAAAAAAAAAAAAAAAAAAGGAACAAAAAATGGGGGAAGAAAAAAAAAAGAAATTAATTCGTGATATTAATCAAAACAAAAAAAAAAAAGGAAACAATTATAATAACGTTAATAAATTTCTAATCGATTAATATTCTTACTTGATACGTTCCAATTTTATTGGCCGTATCACCATTTGCAGCTACACGATCAGCACCAACGACCACTGCTGTGATATTTCTTGATTTCATCAATGCTGCTACCATATTGTCACATATTAAAGTACCTGGTATTTTGTCGTTTACCAATTCATATGCAGTCAAACGAGCACCTTGATTGTACGGCCTTGTTTCAGTACAATAGACGTGTTCTACAAATAAGATCTTTAATTCTTTACATTGAATATATTTCATTAATAATATTAACAAATATATAAGGATAAGATAAACTTACCAAGAACATTTCTTGCTTGTAAAGATCTAATTACGCCTAAAGCTGTACCATATCCAGCAGTTGCCAAACTACCAGTATTACAATGCGTTAATATTCTAACTGATGAATCCTCATTGACATTTTTCAATATCTCTAATGCACCATAATTTCCAATAGCTTTATTATCAGCAATATCCCTTTGTAACATAGAATCTATAGTATGTAAGAATCTGTAATAGATTTATCACTGAATATGAAATACTTTTTTGTTTTCTTTTTCTTTTTCTCTCTCTTTCTCTCTCTTTAAAAACGTGTGTTAAAAAATTAATTTCATGAAAACAATCAACTTACTGTTCTTTCATTTGTTCTACGGTAACAGTATCATCTTCTGTGAGTTTATTGATTAAACCGATAAGCTCCTCGGCTGCTATCTTGATATTAACAGCAGTAGGACGTGCCGATGCAAGATAATTTAATTTTCCTTCGACTTCTTGACGTAATGATTTTTTGTCTATAAAATCTTCATTCCTAACCTCCGTTGATAGACTAAGACAACCAACAATAGCAATGGCTGGTGCACCCCTAACCTAAAAAAAGACAAATAACATAATAATATTATTAGGTTATTAAAATATTTAACGTGAAACATAATATTGTTTAATTTGTGTGTAAGAAGTGTGAAATAAGACAAAAGAAAGAAAGAAAGAAAGAAAGAAAGAAAGAAAAGAATTGAAGAGAAAAAGGAATAAAAAACGAAAGAAAAGAAAAAGAAAAAGAAAAAGAAAAGAAAGAAAGGAAAAAAGAAAGAAAGAAAATACACGCGAGACTATTATAGCATATGAAAAAGCATATCACTTAATCACATTGATTATACGTTGTACGTTGATAACATATGCAAACATTGTAAAAATATATACGTAGATATGTATGTATGTATCTATGGAATATTGATAATATCAATACAATTTTATGATTCGTAATTATATGAATATAATATCATAAAAATGGGCAACAATATGGTCTCGATTTATATTTTCATATATTATTAATAAAATGACGAAAAGATGGAGCATATAAATGTATAATAATAAAAATAATAAAGTGAAAATGATGAAAAAAAAAAGAAAGGAAGAAAATATAGGACAACGTGTAAGAATATTTTCGTTATATATATATATATACATATATATATAAATATACATATGTATATCGAAAAAATAATCGTAAAAATTTAACCGTCAGATTCGAAACGTGTTCTCTCTAAATTTACATACGTACGTACGTACATACGTATGTACCTACATACCTGCATCTTATTGATGACCTTCCAGCCATCCTCTACGCCCTTGACAACAATGTATTTAGAAACTGCTGGTAATAAAACTTGATCGAGAACTTCCAACTTTCCATCTTTCCACTTGATCGCCTGTAAGGTCATCGCAAGAAAACGATAAGGGAGACACGTTTACGGAGCCAACGAGTAAAGACAGCCGATCCGATGGATTTTATGAATGAAACGCAGCCGGCCGGCTGCCTGCCCGTCTTGCTGGCCCCTCTCTCTCTCTCTCTCTCTCTCTCTCTCTCTCTCGCTCTCTCTCTCTCTCTTTCTTTCTTTCTTTACTACTAGAGCGCGTCACGAGATTGGCCATTGACGGTGCTGCCATCTTATGGCGGCTATTACGAACTAGATTTTTAAATTACAAAGGAAACAAAATGTTTATCGCGTAAGTAAACTTGATAATTAATTTACGTAATGTTATTAATAATTATCGTAAGGAAACATTGTAATTCGTTTTGGAAAATTATAGAAAGAAAAAAAAATATATATATATATATATATATATATATATTAGATACTTTTATTAATACCGTCACACATATATATTTAATATATATATATTTATATTATATTATATTATATTATATTATATTATATTTAATATATAATTATATTATTTTAATATTATATATAATATAATATTAAAATCAAGTATACTCTATATGACACCGTCTTCAAGAAAAAAAAACAGAAAAAAAAGAAAAAATAAAAAAACTAAAAAGGAAAAAAAAAAGAACAAGGTTCATAAAATCAATAAGTGTCAAAAATAAAAAAAAATAAAAAAAGAAAAAAAGAAAGAAGAAAAAAGTCATGAAAAAAGTTTTAAGATTAATTTTTACACTTGCTTATGTAATTTATTCGTACGTTCATTGAAGTATCCATTAAAAAAAAAAAAAAAAAAAAAAAAAAAAAAAAAAAAAAAAAACGCAAGAAAGCGTAATGTCAAAGTATAAGCAAAGTGTAAGGAAATAGTGCATAGGAAAGAGCTTGAATTAATGCTACGTTAAAGACTTGACTAATTTTTCTTATTGAGCTTTCGTGTTGGTGGGTGGGGAGGAGGGTGGTGGGGGTGAGGGGGGGGAAGGGGAAATTAAATGAATCAGGAGTAGCAGTTTTTAAACGGTTAATTTTTCTATAATCCCAGACATTTACATTCGTTGGCTATTCGTTAAACTAACTTCTAGTTATTTCAACTACCGAATAAAATGTTCATTCATTCTCCCTGTGCTCGTCCATTCAGCATTAAAAAAAAAAAAGGGTATAACTTTTCAAACTGAAAGAGGATTTGTTTACAAGAACTCGTTAACATCGTTAACATGAATGTTTAAACGTTTAAATGAAAGAATCACAAATAATATGAGTAGTTAGTTCTCATTACTTAAACATTTTATTTCCTTTCCTATCTTTATCTCTATCTTTTCACGTTACACCATCTCCCTCATTTTTCACATTCCCCTTACCCCCGTCCCCTTCTCACCCTTACCCTCTTCCAAACCTTTCAATTTTCTATCAAGAGTTTAATAATAATAGTACGCTCGTTTTATTCTTTTAATTTCTTTTAAATAATTTCTTTTCTCCCTTTATCTTTTTCCTCCATTTAAATCCTTTATCCCCTTGATCTCCCATTTTTTTTTGTCAGACTTTTATTTTTATTCATTTTTCTCACTTTTATATACTACAACATTAAAGATCCACGTTATACAATTATCGTTAATAATTAACGCATATAATTCGGATAATTAAAATAGGATCACGAAAGGGTGATTTGTTTAAATTTTTCGATTTCAAAATCAATCATTATATAATAATATATATATATATATATATTATTATTATTATTATTATTATTATTATTATTATTATTATTTTATATAATTATAATCGTGAAATAATTCGAATTAACAAGTAAGTCGTTATATATGATTTTATCATATTATTCTGATAATATTGTATTTCACATTGATGAGGCAAATATGATGCTAAAATTTTTTTTCTTTTTTTTTCTTCTTTTTTTTTTTTCTTGTACAACCAAGAAAGAGAGAAATGACACGAGACTCGAAAGGATTAAGTAAAATTCTACTTCAATCACTACTATTCTCAGCGGGATCCTTTTTTTCCTTCAAAGGAATATAAATCAACAGCCATTTTCTCTCTCTCTCTCTCTCTCTCTCTATATATATATATATATTTCTTTCTTTATCTATTTTTATCTTTCTGTCTTTCTATTTCATTCTCCTTCCTTCTTTTCTTTCTATCTCTCTATCTCTCTATCTCTGTCCTTATAAGGAAAAATTTGCAATCAGTATACCTTCAATATTCTTTACATCTCGAAAAAAAAAATTTGTATATATATATATGTATAAATCATTCCTCCCTTACTGTAATTACAATTCTCTTTCTTTTTTC